ACCGGACCCGCATTGTTGAACTCGGCGGCTGTTTCCTTTTTTTTGCCTTTGCGAACTCAAAACCTGTCGGGTCCGCACTTGTTTCCTTTTTTTTCACTCTTGCTGTTCTTTTCCAAGCTAAGCATGTTGTCTTTTTCGTTAGGGAAAGGGAAAGGGAAGACTGCCCGGCAAAACACATCCAAGATGAGTGTGTTGTCTTTTTCGTTACCCTCCTATACTCCGCACTTCTATGTGAGTGAGAGTAATCTGAGCGGATGAGGCAGAAGTGCAATGCTGGAGCCCTGGGCGTCCCTGAATGTGGTCACATTACGGGCAAAATGGTTGGCTCGTCTGGCTCCCTCCATGTGTACACATTTTTTGCATCGACTGCTTTTCTTTTGTTTCTAACCAGGCTATATTCCTCTCTCAATTCACCTTTCATTGAAGACCTACCTACCACTACTCCTAAGGCTACACAGGGGACCCCTGCAACAATAGCTAACTCTCACAATCATGGGATCGCATATTGCCCCTTGCCCTAGTGGCTAGGGTGCAGGGTTGGGGCTCGTCTAACAGAAAGACGGAGCATTTTGCCAGTAGTTTTGCCTCCTTTTTCATCGTCCCCCACCATCCCCATCGAGTAACAGCAGTGTCTAAGGGCAACACTCTCCCACACACCACACGCAACCCACTCTCACATACACACTCGCACCCGTGCTGGCTAAAGAGCCTACTTATACGGACCTGGGGGAGCAGGCCGGCTATCTCAGTTGTTGGTTGGCAGCAAGCTTGAGCCAAGTGGTCCGTTGGGATTGAACCCACGACCTCCTGAATGCCACTTGTGTGCCTAACCAACTGACCTAGGCCGCTAGGTCTTTTTTTCCCCATTTGTCCTCAGAGTCCCCATGATAATTTTTTTATTTGAAAAAAAATGGACTTTATTTTTAATATTTATTGACTACAGCTCAGATGGCCCGAGTCATTCAAAGACCATTGTTTGGAGAAAAGGAAGACATCTGTTAAAATTGGAACAATACAGAGAAGATTATCATGGCCCCTGCGGGGCAAGGAGAACTGGTCGTTGGAGGCATTCGCTGCCCGCGGGAGGGAGGCGGCCATTGTCGAACTTTGCGCCTCCTGTAGCCAGCCGTCCGCCCTGTGCACAAGTGCTCTCCAACAGTAGGCGTCCGCTCCTGCCATGCCATCACCAGCTTCATGTTGTCTTTGAATTTGAAATCTATTTGACAATTTGTGCAGTCCTGTGTGTGTGTGTGTGTGTGTTAAAGATAAGTCGGATAACACAACTGCAGCAGCCTGTGTTCGTTTTTTTTTGTTTTTTTGTTTTTTTGTTTTTGTTTTTTGTTTTTTTGTTTTTTAATCCGGACATCCGGACTTGCACATCCATAACCGGACCGTCCGGGTCCGTATGTTCGGTTGTCCAGATTGGTGTCCGGATTACCGGACGTCTGGATTAATCATCGGACTTGCTCATCCATAACCGGACCGTCAGGGTCCGTATGTCCGGTTGTTGAGATTGGTGTCCGGATTACCGGACGTCTGGATTAATCCAGACACGGGTCCGCGCCCGGTGTCTGGATGTCCGGGTCTGGGCCAACCATGAAAATTCTCAAAGTAACAAAATAAATAAATTACAAAAAAAGGAGGGCAACACAAAGAAAGCAAGACAACATGTTTACTCACCGAGGGCCCAAGCGAAAGGGGCAAACAGACTGCAAGATGTCCTGTTGGTTTATGCCATGCATGTGGAAACACATGCACAAAGGGCTGCAAGATGTCCTGTTGGTTTATGCCGTGCATGGGGAAACACATGCAAGGATGCTGAAGGCAGATGTGTGGTTTGACAGGGGTTCGTCCTACCGGACCAAAATGGCTAGCAGCAGCAAGCAAAAAGAAAATGTTTTCCACCTGTGTCGATGCTTTCATTTTTTTTTTTTCATTTTCTCTTTGGCAGAAAAAGAGGCTTGGAGGAGGAACTGTTCAATGAACATTCAAATGCTCCAGATTACATTGAAAACAAAATAAAAAAGCACGGCCTTGAATCTCTTGTGCGCTCCAGAAGGGCCTTATTAATGGCTTATAAATTATAATTTTTAAATTTTTATTAATTTTTTAATCCTTTTTTTTGAAAGCCTTTTTAGTAGCTATTATAGTATATACTATATAATTATATCCTTACTATCATATGCAAAAGTGGGAAGAATTTGTATCAGGTGCTGATACTAATATGAACTTCAAAGGGTTTACTGCAAGGAAAATGAGTGATAGTTAATTCCAGATACCAAGCAGCATCATATACATGAAACCAGATAGTCGTGACCTCGAACCAAAAGCAGAATTGCAACTCGAGTTCTACCAAATACGAGCACAGCAAAAGCTCACAAATGACAATGTTGGAATAATCTCATCATCATCAACAATGAACCAATGTCGATTCCCTATCTGGCGCTCGGCGCCCAGACTACGAATGGCAGATCCTATCTAGCCTATCTACAATGCCGCTGGTGATGTCAACAGCTCCCCGTACTACGAGCAGATCTTGGCCAATGCTGTTCGCCGCAAGCACCAGGTATGTCTCACGCTTCACTCACAACCTCGATCCCCTACACACATGCCACATGCACCCAAGGACCACCATGCGCCCCATCCAGCACCTCGTAGGCCAGCTCGGCTATGGCTGCATGCCTGTACCCTGCTCGCCCGTGAGCGCATGGGCGCTTGCCTGCCAGTAGCGCAGCAGCGCTTGCGCAGCATGTAGCAAGTGCCCGCACGCTGAATGCGGAGGCAGGCACTTTCCTATATGGAAGTGGCCTCCCTGCTGCGTGCTGCCTGGCTGTGCTGGGCCCCTTCCCAGAAGCTTCCGGTAGGCCTCAAGTGGCTGAGCCCCGGTCCAAGGGAATCAGGCGCACGGCCTGGGGTGGTTACCCGTGTCCAACTGCCAGGCGCGGCCTGTGTGCAGTCCATGCCCCGTGTCTGGCCCAGGGCCTCCCTCAGATACATTTGGAAAAAGGCAGGCAGGGCCTGGGCTTTCTCAACCAACTGGCGCTGCACAACTGCCTGAATTTCCCAGTTGCGTGAAAGGCCCAAAATAGGCCTCTCGTCCCCTGTCAGGCCTGCCTTCACTTAGGCCGCCGATATTGCTGAGAACAGGGCCCAGTAGGGCTCATCGAGGCCTTGAGCCTCGCATTCCCTCCTCCATACTTCGACAGTCCTCTGAGAAGTTCAATCACTCAATCTGGCGCTTTCCTTTCTGCAGTGACTTCTCATACTGAGCGACAACCTGTGGAGCGGTCTGCATCAGTTCCTCCCGGGTAAACCCTGTCATCTTTTGGATTAGTGTGATGTCTGAACCGAACGCGATATTGCAGCTTCGGCTTAGGAGGACGTCCCCTGCCTGTTGGCCTTGGAACTGGCATTTCTCTGTGTTCCACGGTGTCGTCAATATCGACCTCTCCATCCATGGTTGGAGACAGCATTGAGCGACGAGAGGGAAACTGATCAGTTTCTCTGGAAGGTGCGAGCTTGGAGGCGTGAAAGACAGGGTAGCTGCGAAGGTGACCAGGGATCCGTATTAGATACGATGGCCCATCCGGATCATTACCGACAATATCTAGAACCTCCCATGGCCCGAAGTACAGTGGCATGAGTTTGCAGGAGATCCCATGCTCCTGCCCCAGTTCAGAGGCTTTGACCCAGACTCTGTCCCCTACCTGGAATGTAGATGGGCGGCGGTGTTGGTTCTCAGATTCTATCATTGCCGCCTGTGCTCTATGCATCCGTTCTACAACTTGCTGCATCAGGCGTTCATATTGATAAGCGAATTCTAAAGTGCCTGGTGCACCAGCCGGCTGGTTCTCAGGTAGTAGAAAGTCTAGGGGCAGTCTAGGCTTGAAGGTCAGTAGCAGACTGTTAGGGCTCACTCCTGTTGTGCTGTGCACAGCGTTGTTGTACAGACTGGCGACGAGAGCAAGTTTCTCATCCCAGTCCACCTGATTAGGCTTGATATAGTGCCTTAGCACGTGTTGTACAGCGTGGTTCAGCTGCTCTGCTTGCCCGTTTGCCTCTGGGTGGTTCCCGGAGGTCATCTGCAGCTGCGTCCCTTGTTTTCTGTAGCTGCAGCCTTCCACAACTCACTTGTGAATCGGACATCCCGGTCACTAACAATAGACTTTGGAAAGCCCAAAGTCTCTGACCCAGTTCTCTTTGAATAGTCTAATCACGTACTCGGTCTTTGCTGTTTCAGGCATTGCGACTAACACAATGACAAAGATGTGTCTCATTCCAGTCTTGTTGGTGACCAGCGTGTCCATGAGATCCATGGACAGGCTCTCACCGGGCCTTTCCGCAATCGGAACGGGCTTGAGAAGCCCAAGAGGGGCCTGTGTATGTGGCTTGTCTCTTTGGCAGACTTGCAAGTCTCCAAATACAACTTGGCATCTCTCATCATTGTGGGCCACCAGAACTGCTGCAGCAAGTTGGCTGCAGTCTTCTTATAACCAAAATGCCCTGTGGCGTCATTACACTCACCTAAAAATAACCTATGCAAAAGATTCCCGGTTTGGCACACACTAACATTTCTTCTCGGCCTTTTCGAGGAACAGCAGGCCATTGACCAGCACAAACTTGTCAGAAGTCACCTTATCCTTTGCCTCGAGCCTGCGTATGATCTCAGCCATAAACGGATCCTCACGATAGGCTTACACCAAAGATCGAGTAACATCGTCCACAAGCCCAAACTCGATGATCAGCGCACCCAGGAAGTTCGGCCTACGCGACAGCGCATCAACAACTTTGTTATACTTTCGTTTGATGTATTGGGGTTCGAAGTCATACTGCTCAATGACTTTAATCCAGCGTTTCAGCGCATCGGAGAGCACCGACCGAGTTCTCATCTACCTCAGGGTCTGATGATCAGTCCTCACGTAGAGAAACCTCCCAAGTAGATAAGTGCCTCCAGTGGGTTACTGCTTTGTAGATCGCGTAGAGCTCCTTCTCATAGGTGGACTTAGCCAACTTTTGAGAGGGCATTTTTTGGACATGTACTCGATCGACCTTAACTTTGGCCCCTCCTGCTGCGCAAGCACGCCACCAATGCCATATTGGCTGGCATCCGTGGTTACTGTAAATGGCTTGTCAGGATCAGGAAGTTTCAAGACCTCATGGTGTGCTAAGGAGTGCTTCAGATGTTTGAAAGCAGCCTCACACCTGTCTGTCCACTCCCACGGGGTGTCAAGGCGTGTCAGGTCCGTCAAAGGTGCGGCCACTATGCTATAGGTCTTTACAAAATTACAGTAGTAGCCGGTCATCCCTAAGAAGAACCTCATCTCAGTCACAGATCGAGGACGCGGCCAGTCACGAATGCTGGCCACCTTCACGTCATCGGGCTTTAATCCCTCTACGGAAATCTCATGACCCAGATACAAGATTCGGGTGTGGCCAAACTCGCACTTCTCCCGGTTATCTTGAACTGGTGCTGCCGAAGGAGATTAAGGACTTTGTCTAGATGACCAACATGCTCCTGAACAGTCCTATTAAAGATAAGTATGTCATCGAGGAACACGATGACAAACTTGTCCAAGTAGTCATGAAAGATCCGGTTCATAAGATTCGGGTGTGGCCAAACTCGCACTTCTCCTAGTTAATCTTGAACTGGTGCTGCCGAAGGAGACTAAGGACTTTGTCTAGATGACCAACATGCTCCTCAACAGTTAATCTTGAACTGGTGCTGCCGAAGGAGACTAAGGACTTTGTCTAGATGACCAACATGCTCCTCAACAGTCCTAAAGATAAGTATGTCGTCGAGGTACACGATGACAAACTTGTCCAAGTAGTCATGAAAGATCCGGTTCATAGCGCGCTGAAAGGTGCCAGGAGCATTGCAAATGCCGAAAGGCATCACCACAAACTCGTACAGACCGTACCTGGTCTGAAAAGCGGTTTTGTGTTGATCCTCGGGCCGGATTGCAATCTGATGGTACCCGGACTTCATATCCATCTTATTGAAGTACCGACACCCTTGCACTCGGTCCAACAAGTCATCGATGCGCGGTAGGGGCTCTACGTTTTTCACAGTGATGACATTGAGGACCCTATAGTCAATGCACATCTTCAATGTTGCCCCCTTCTTTGGTACAAATAGGACAAAAGATCCTTAACGGGAAACACTAGGCCGGATCCAACCCTTCTCTATGAATTCCTTGAGTTGTCGGCGAAGCTCATTGAGCTTCGTTGGAGACATCTGATAGATCCTACCCTTCAAAATACTACACCCTGGGATAATCTCTATCGCGTGGACGACCTCCCTTTCAACAACCACTTTTGGCTCTTCAAATAGATCAGGGTACTTCTCTGGAGGCATTTTCATTGGCTCGCCCTCTGCAGAGACATAAACTAAATACATACCCTCCTCCGGATTTTTGCTTATAATGATTATAAAATGCGGCCGCACACATGCATCCGTAGGACTCAATCAAACTACTAGCTTTATACTTACGTAATCTGGCGGTCCCCCCTCCCGGCAAAGTGTGTTTGACCACTTTTCGGTCCCGGTCAATGCTCTTGCATCGTAGCGCCCTCTCTCTCTCTCTCTCTCTCTCTCTCTCTCTCTCTCTCTCTCTCTCTCTCTCTCTCTCTCTCTCTCTTGGTGCTCGGTGTTCAAGTGCTTGGTGCTTGGTGCTCAATCCTCGGTGCTTGGTTTGGTGCCGCTCA